CCCCCCCCCCCCCCCCCCCCCCTCTTTCAGCCGACTTCGAAATCCCCCCCCCCCCACCCACCACCCCCCCCCCCCCCCACCCCCAAAAAAAACCCTTTCAGCCGACTTTGTAATCCCCCCCCCCGACCTCACCACCCCGCCCCCCCCCCCCCCCCCCCCCCCCCCCACCCCCCCCCCCCCCCCCCCCCCCCCCCCCCCCCCCCCCCCCCCCCCCAAAACCTATTTTAGCCGACCTCCCCCCCACCCCCCCCCCCCCCCCACCCCCCCCCCCCCCCCCCCAAAAAAACTATCTCAGCCCTTGAAACCCGCCCCCCCCCCTCTCCACCCCTGCCCCCCCCCCCCCAAACCCCCCCCCCTTTCAGCCGACCTCGAATCCCGGCCCATCGACCTCCCCCCCCACCCCCCCCCCACCCCCCCCCCCCCCCCCCTATCTCAACAGACCTCGAAACCTGCCCCCCCCCCCTCACCCCCCAGCTCCACACCCCCCCCCCCCCCCCCACCCTCAACCGATCTCCCCCCCCCCCATCCCGACCCCCGACTTCACCCCCCCCCCCGCTGCACCCCACCCCCCCTCTAAATAACTATCTTAACCGATCACCCCCTACCCCCCCCCAACCCCCACCCCCCCCCCATACCCCAAACCAAAACAGAAACTTTCTCAGTTGACCTCGAAACCCTCCCCCCCCCCCCCACTCACTACCCCCCCCCCCCCCCCCCCCCCAACCAAAACAGAAGCTATCTCAGTTGACCTCGAAACCCCCCCCCGACCCCCACCCCCCCCCCCCCCCCCCTCCCCCCCAAACCAAAACAGAAGCTATCTCAGTTGACCTCGAAACCCCCCCCCCCCCCCCTGACCCCCCCCCCCCACCCCCCCCTCCCCCCCCCCCCAAGCTATCTCCCCTCGAAACCCCCCCCCCCCTCACCACCCCAACCCCCACCCCAAACCCCCCAAACCAAAAAAAAAAAAAACTATCTCAGCCGACCCTCGAAACCCTCCCCCCGACCTCCCACCCCCCCCCTCCCCCCCCCCCAAAAAAACCCCAAAACTATCTCAGCCAATCTCACATCCCCCTCCCCCAACCTCAACACCCCCCCACACCCCCGCAAACAAACAACAAAAAAAACCCCCCCCCAGCCCCCTCGAAAAGCAGCCCCCCCAAACCCCACCCACCCACCTCACCCACCCCCCCCCAAAAAAAAAACCCCCCTTGGCCCCCTCGAAACCTGCCCCCCCCCCCCCACCTCACCCCACCCCCCCCACCCTTACCTCCTAAACAAAAACAAAAAAAAACCTATCTTTGCCGACCTTAAAACCCACCCCTTCAACCTCACCACCCCCCCCCCCCCCCCCCAAATAAAAAGACTATCTCAGCCGACCTCAAAACCCCCCCCCCCCCGACCTCACCACCACCCGCCCCCCCCCCCTAAAATGAAAAAAAAACAAACTCTCAGCCGACCTCGAAACGTACCCCCCGGAACTCCTCCTACCCCCCCCCCCCCACCCCCCACCCCCCAAAAAAAAAAAAATCTTAGCCGTCCTCGAAACCCTCCCCCCCCCCCCTCACCACCCCCGCCCCACACCCCCCCCCTATCTTAGCCAACCTCGAAACCCACCCAACAACCTCACCACCCCTGCTCAACCCTCTCAAACCAAAAAAAAAAAAAAAAAAAACTATCTCTGCTGACCTTGAAACTCGCCCCTTCGACCTCACCACCCCCTCCTCACCCCCACACCTCCAAAATAAAAGACTATCAGCCGACCTCGAAACCTGCCCCCCTGAACTCACCACCCCCCCCAACCCCACACCCCCCCAAAAAAAATCTCAGCTGATCTCGAAACAGCCACCCCAACCCCCAACCTCTCCACCCCCCCCCACCCCCCAAATAAAAAAAAAAATAAGCCGACCTCGAAACCCCACCCCCCTCAGACCTCACCATCCCCACCCCACCCCCCCCAAACCAAAAAAATAAAACTCTCAGCCGACCTCGAAACCTGTCCCTCTGACCTCACCACCCCCGCCCCACCCCCCCCCCAAAAAAAAAACAATCTTAGCCAACCTTGAAACCCGCCCCCCCCCCCCCCCCTCAACCACCACCTCCCCCTTACCCCCCAAACAAAAAAAAAAAAAACTAACTAACTATCCCATCCGATCTCGAAACCTGCCCCCCTGGCCTCACCTCCCCCGCCCCACCTCCCCAAATGAAAAAAAAAACTATCTCGGCTGACCTAGAAAACCTGCCCCCACGACTTCACCACCCCCCACCCCAAAAAAAAAAAAAAAAAACAACTATCTTAGCTGACCTTGAAACGCGCCCCCCCCCGACCTCACCAACCCCCCAATCCAAAAAAAAAAACTATCTCAGCCTTTCTCGAAACCCACCCCCAACCTCACCCCAACACCCTCGCCCCACCCCCTCAAACCAAAAAAAAAAAAAGATCTCAGCCGACCTTGAAACCCGCCCCCCCCCCTTACCTCCCCGCCCCACCCCCCCAAACCAAAGAAAAAAATTATCTCAGCCGACCTAGAAAACCCGCCCCCACGACCTCAGCACCCCCGCCCCACCCCCACTGTTAGGGATCCTACCAGCGGTAGCCTCTAGCGCTCCACAGAGCGGCATCCCCCAAGGCGTGGAATCTATGCCCCAACCTGCTTGTTCACCAGGGCCCCTCATGGTGGGGATGGACTTGGAGCAGGCCGAGACCAGGTCCCGGCCCTTGGGCTCACCCAGCTGCGGTACAAGCACCGCTGGAGGTGTATAGCAGGTGAGAGCCTGATGTGAGGAGGTAACAAGAGCAGCGTCGGGCAGGCCGGATCGGTAACGGTGGTGGCAGCATGGTACAAAATCAGCAGGCAGAGGGATAAACAGGTCACAAGCCGGGTTCGGTAACAGGAGATCAGAATGTACAGGGTTAAGCAGGAGAATGGTCAGACAAGGCAGGGATCAGAACAGAAGACAGACAGCAAATCAGGGTCAGGCAGGGTCGGCAACAAGACAATCTACAATGCAGGAACTCAGGATACAGGTAAGACCATACGGCAACTAAACACAGTCCTGACCTGTTTTAAATAGGGCGCCCTGTGCCCTGATTGGTGCCAGGCTCACGTCCGCGATTGCGAGTGCGCATGTGCGAGCGCCGCTGCAATCACGGGTGCCCTGGTCCCAATGCTCGCACGCTAGTGTGGCCTGGCACACCGTGCATGCGCAGACTTGTGCGTGATCGTGGCCAGCTCTGGGGTCCCTGACACCCACACCCCCCCACAAAAAAAAAACTAACTTAGCCGACCTCGAAACCCGCCCCCCCTGATCTCACCACCCCACCCCCCAAACCAAAAAAAAAAAAACTCTCTCAGCCTTCCTCAAAACCCACCCTCCAACCTCACCACCCCCGCCCCCCCCCCCCAAACCAAAAGAAAAAAACCATCTCAGGTCGACCTCGAAACCCGCCCTCCCGACCTCACCACCCCCGGGCCCACCCCCACACCCCCCAAAAAAAAAAAAAAACAATCTTAGCCAACCTTGAAACCTGCCCCTCGACCTCACCACCTCGCCCCACCCCCAAACAAAAAAAAAACTCTCAGCCGATCTCGAAACCCGCCCCCCCTGACCTCACCTCCCCTGCCTTACCTCCCCAAAACAAAAAAAAAAAAAAAACTATCTCAGCCCCACACCCCCAAAAAAAAAAACTATCTTAGCCGACCTCGAAACCCACCCCCCTGACCTCACCACCCCCCGCCCCACCCCCCCAAAAAAAAAAAAAAAACTATCTCAGCCTTCCTCGAAATTTGCCTTCCAACCTCACCACCCCTGCCCCAAACTCCCCCCTTAACAAAAAAAAAAGATCTCAGCCGACCTCGAAACCCGCCCCCCCTCCCCGACCTCACCACCCCCACACCCCAAAAAAAAACAAAAAAAACTATCTCAGCCAACTTGAAACCCACCTCCCCGACCTCAACACCCCCACCCCCACAACCCAAAAAAAAAAAAAAACTATCTCAGCCGACCTCCAAACCCGCCCCCCCCGGCCTCACCACTAGGAGAGGCCGTTGGTTATTGTCCTGTTGGCTGATGGGGAGATTGTTGTGAGAGGTAGGTTGATATTTCACAGGAGCTATATATTTTTTGTATTATACTATACTTGCAGCATTACCCACTCGTCCCCCTGCTTGATCCGTACGAGGTTGTACGCCGCCCTAAGGTTGAGTTTGGTAAAGACCGTTCCTCCCCTGAGGCGGTCCAACAACTCGGTAATCAATGGGATAGGGTAGGCATTCTTGATGGTGATTCGATTGAGACCCCTATAATCGATGCAAGGCCTCAATTCACCACCCTTCTTCTTTACAAAGAAAAAGCCCGCTCCTGCTGGGGAAGTAGACTTACGAATGTGCCCCGGGAAAGTGCATCCGCAAGGTACTCCTCCATGGCCTGATTCTCCGCAACCGAAAGAGGATACACCCTGCCACGCGGAGGAGTGGCACAGGGTTGCAAGGGTATGGCGCAGTCGTAAGGACGATGGGGAGGTAAGGCACCAGCGCGCACTTTGTCAAACATGTCCAGGTACTCCCCATAGTCGGTGGGCAACACAGAGTCCGAGGAGGCATACAACACCTTAACCGGCCCACGGATGCACCCGGCCCCACGCTGTGGAGACCACGAGAGAAATCTTGGCCATTCGCCAATTAAAGGTTGGATTGTGCTTCTGGAGCAAGGGATACCCCAAAACCACGGAATAGTGCGGGGAAGAAATCACCTGAAAACAGGCCAACTCCCTGTGAACAGCCCCAATAGCTACTTCAACCGGCAGGGTCTCGTGGGTAACCTACGGCGGTTGCAGGGGCCTGCCATCTATTGCCTCAAGAACCAATGGGGTAACTCGAGCCTGCAGTGGAATGGAGTACAGGGCAGCAAACGAGCTGTGCATAAACAACCCGCTGGCCCCAGAGTCTACTAACGCATGGGCCGTCACCGAGCCCTCCGCCCAAAAGAGGACAACGGTGATCAGTGGTTTATCTTTGCGGGACGCCGGGGACGAGGAAACGCCACCCAAGATCTGTCCCCGACAGGATCTCAGGTGCAAGCGTTTCCCGGACGGACCGGACAGGACTGCCAAAAGTGCCCACCAAGGCCGCAGTACAGGTAGCGACCCTCCTGACGCTGAGCGGCCCGCTCCCCTTTGGAAAGGCGAGCAAACCCCAGCTGCATGGCTCACCGCCAGACAGGCCATCCCCAGGAGGCGTGGGAGGAGAGGGAGGAACGGGGGTGGGACAGAAAACGCAGGCGCCAGTCGGTTGGGAGGCCTCCGCAGGCGCTCCTTGAGTGAAGGCCTCTCCCTGAGCCTGGTGTCAATCAGGATTAGGAAGGAAATTAGTGTTTCCAGCTCCACAGGCAGTTCCTTGGCTGCAATCTCGTCCTTCAATGCATCTGAAAGGCCATGAGAAAAAGCAGCCACCAGAGCCTCATTGTTCCAGTCCACCTCTGCCGCCAGGGTACAAAACTCTATTTTTTTTTTTTTTTCCGCAAACGTGCAAACTACAACGAAAAACCCGTAAGTGTTTCACAAAAAAGTGCAAGTGCAAAAACACCACACAAAAAGTGCACTTAGGGGTGTGCTTTGTCCTACCCCCGAAGGGCTTGGACCACTACCCTGATCCCCCGGGGTACGAAGCTCCTGACAGGGACAAGGTTCCCATTTGGTCCTCCTGGCCAAAAGGCCTGGTGGACCACCGTTCCTTATGCCCAGCCGAAGCCGGACATCCAGTACTAGGCCAGGGGGTTCTCCCGAAGAGAAAAACCCCCTAGGGACAGGGGAGGAAGGAACCAAAAGGCCACACATCCTCCCCCTAGACTTCAGGGCAGGCCCGAGGACCCACACCCTCCATCATGTGAAGAAAACACACACATAAGTAAAAAGTGACAAATGTGGGAGTGTAAAAAGAAATAAATAAATAATTAAATAAATCTATAAAAATAATAAAAAAGTGGTACCATGCCAAATTGTGCACAGACCAGGCCCTGAGGCCCATAGCAAAAATTGCCCTGGTCCTAGCCAAAAGGCCTGGTCCTTAGGGCGCTGTGCAAAAAGAATGTAAAAACAGTGACCATGTGCCATGTTCACACAGTGGGGTTCCACACCCAGGTGTTACTAGTGGCACCCCTGAGAGCGTCTACTCAGGGGGCACCGAGTTTGCGGACTTTCTGCCTCCTCAGCCCCTGGCCAGACCAAGGTAGATCCGTCCAAATCAGGAGGTACTGGGTCTTTCCAGTTTTCCCGGAGGAATTACTCCCAGGGCCCCAGCTTAACGTGTGGCGCTCCTGTCCCTCTGGTACTAGCCTTCCGGACCCCCATCATACCAGTGAGGGTACTATACAACAGCCATCCCCGCAAAGCTAGAATGGCCGGGAGCACCCCCACTGGACACTAATAAGAACAGTCCGCAAACGTGCAACTATAACGAAAAAACCCGTAAGTGTTCACAAAAAAAGTGTAAGTGCAAAACACCACACGAAAAAGTGCACTTAGGGGTGTGCTGTGTCCTACCCCTAAAGGGGCTTGGACCGCTTACCCTGATCCCCCGGGGCACGAAGCTCCTGACGGGGACAAGGTTCCCAATTGGTCCTCCTGGCCAAAAGGCCTGGTGGACCACCGTTCCCTATGCCCAGCCGAAGCCGGACATCCAGTACTAGGCAAGGGGACTCTCCCGAAGAAGAGTCCCCTAGGGATCAGGGGAGGAAGGAACCGTATGGCCACACATCCTCCCCCTAGACTTCAGGGTAGGCCCGAGGACCCACACCCTCCATCCATGAAAAACACACACATAAGAGCAAAAAAGTGACAAACGTGGGAAGTGCATAATAAATAAGAGAAAGAAAAAATAAAAAAAGTGGTACCGTGCCGAATTGTGCACAGACCAGGCCCTGAGGCCCGTAGCAAAAATTGCCCTGGACTTAGCCAAAAGACCTGGTCCTTAGGGCGCTGTGCAAAAAGAGGTGAAAAACAGTGGCCATGTGTCATCTTCACACCGTGGGGTCCCACACCCAAGTGTTACTAGTGACACCCCTGAGAGCGTCTTCCCCAGGGGGCACTGAGTTTGCGGACTTTTTGCGTCCCCAGCCCCTGGCCAGACCAAGGTAGATCCGTCCAAATCAGGAGGTACTGGGTCTTTCCAGTCTTCCCAGAGGAATTACTCCCGGGGCCCCAGCTTAACTCGTGGCGCTCCCCGGTTTCTGTCCCTCCGGTACTAGCCTTCCGGACCCCCATCATTCCAGTGAGGGTACTATACAACAACCATCCCCGCAAAGCTAGAATGGTCGGGAGCACCCCCACTGGACACTGATAAGAACAGATACTACACTTGATCTTAGCCAAAAGGCCGTGAACCCTGATGCATGGACATGAGCAGCTTAGCAGCCGAGGCGGAGCGAGCCAGCACATCGAATACCCTACGGAAGGCGTCGATAAAACCGGAAAACTAGTGAATCACCGGGTCACTCCTCTCCCATAAGGGATTTGCCAGGGCCAAGGCCTTGTCTGAGAGCAGCGAGATTAGGAAGCCCACCTTTGTCCTCTCAGTAGGAAAAGCGTGGGGTATTAACTCAAAATAAATGCCCACCTGGTTGAGGAACCCACGACACTGACTCGGCTCACCCCCAAAGTGCTGTGGAAGAGGGGCTGAACCAGTCATACCTCTGGGCACCGCGGGCACAGCGGCAGCCGCAGTGGTAGGCGCAACAACCGGAGCAGCAGTGGGGGCGACCACCGGAGTGACAACCAGCCTAATAGCACCAGGAGCAAGGTGCGCGGTGCGTGCAAGCAGAGTCTGCAACGCCTGAGCGAACTGATCCAACAAGAGATCCTGTTGATCAAGTCTGGCGACTAACATGGGAAGCGAAGGCATACCTGCACCGCCAGGATTCATGGCATTCGTGTAATGTCAGGGCAGGAGCTGTGGAATGGACAAGCAGGCCTAATGGCAGGATCACACACCGACTGACGACAACCACCACCCACAGACCGGAGTCCCTCAGGGCGCGGAGTCTAAGCCCCAGGCTGCCCTTCACCAGGGCCCCTGATGGTGGGGATGGACTTGACGCAGCCAGGGACCAGGTCGTGGCCCCCTAGTAACCCCAGCTGTGGTAATGGCCGCCGCCAATGGCGTATAGCTGGTGGGAACCAGATAAGAACGATAGCGTAGTTGAACAGGCCGGGTCGATAACAGCGGGACAGACAGTACAGAACGGTAGCCAAGAATACACAGGTCACAAGCCGGGTTCAGCAACGGGGGGGGTCAGATAAAAGGATAAGGCTGAGAATAGTCAGTCAAAGCCGAGTCAGTTTCCAGGAGAGCCACGAGAGTAGAACAGGAGCTTGCAACAACACAATAATACAGGACACGAATGCAAAGAGCAAGTGCAGACAACAGGCTTAAATATGATCAACCACACCCCTCTGGGGGATGGACCGCAGAGGCCTGAAAGCATAAAAGACTCCCTCCATGCTTTGCAGAAACCCAAGATGGATGCCAGCACATGGAGCAGCAGCACCTCTGGGAAAAGGTAGGACCTTGACATGTTTTGATTCAGAAGTGTTCTATTTTTACTCTTATTGAATTTTTTGGATTTTTAATTTTGATTAATAATAAAAATTGTAAATTTTAGCTTTTTTGTTGTAATTATTATAGATGTCACCTTAAAAAATCCCGTTATCTCCCTTGAATTTGGGAAGGTTCCTCTTTTTTTTCCCCACTCTCCTTTTTTCTTGGTATTCATAGAGAAGCCAGATTTCCGTTGAATTCCTCTACCGCTACGGTTGAGTGCCACCTACACTCAGGTTCCTTCGTTAAGTGACATATCAGCATGGATGTCACTCCACTTCCTCAAACTCAATCTTTCCAAAACTGAGCTCTTAGTATTCCCCACAGCCCGTGCCCCCCCCGACTTCTCCATCAAGATCAATAACACAATCATCAGTCCCTCCCCTCATGCCAGGGTACTAGGTGTAATCCTAGACTCCCATCTGTCCCTTCAGCCCCAAAACCAATCACTGTCCAAATCTTGTAGACTTCACCTTCGCAACATCTCCAAGATACGCCCGTTCCTAACCTTGGAAACCACTAAGCAATGTATTCACTCCCTTGTTGTATCTCGCCTTTACTATTGTAACTCCCTCTTCATTGGCCTACCTCATCGCAGGCTATCCCCTCTTCAGTCTATCATGAATGCTGCTGCCAGACTCATCCACCTTACTAAACGTTCTGTATCTGCCACCCCTCTCTGCCAATCCCTCCACTGGCCTCCACTCAGTGTCCTCCTCCCCTCTCTGCCAATCCCTCCACTGGCTTTCCATTGCCCAACGGATACAATTCAAAACACTAACAATAACATATAAAGCCATTTATAACTCTGCCCCAAATTACATCATTATTATTATTATACAGTATTTACAGTATATAGCGCCTAAAGGTTTGCTCAGCGCTGTACATTATAGTGGGGGACAGAACATGAGACAATACAGCAACAAACAATACACGAGGCGTACAAGGGCCCTGCTCTTTCGAGCTTACAATCTAGGAGGGAGGGGATAGTGGCACAGGAGGAAGTGGCTGTGGGGGATGGAGTGGTAGGAGGAGTGGAGGAGATCGGCTGTTAGGTGAGGGTAGGGTAGGCTTCCCTGAAGAGATGGGTTTTCAGGGTGCACCTAAAGGTGAGGAGGGTAGGTGACAGTCTGATGGATTGGGGTAATGAGTTCCAGAGGATGGGGGAAGTCCTGGAGAAGTCCTTCAGTCGGGCGTGGGAGGTGTAGACCAGGGAGCTAGAAAGCAGGAGGTCTTGTGAGGAGCGAAGATTACGGGTTGGGTGGTATTTGGGTATCAGGTCGGTGAGGTAGTTTGGGGCAGCGTTATGAATGGCTTTGTATGTCAGTGTATGTATGTATGTATGTATGTCAGTGTTAGTAGTTTGAATTTGATGCGTTGGGCAATCGGGAGGCAGTGGAGGAAATGACAGAGGGGGGTGGCAGAAGCGGAGCGGTTGGTAAGGTGGATGAGTCTGGCCACAGAGTTGAGGATAGACTGAAGCGGGGATAGTCTGTGGTGAGGTAGGCCGGTGAGGAGGGAGTTTCAGTAGTCCAGGCGTGAGATAATAAGGGAGTGAACGAGTTGTTTAGTAGTGTATGGGGTTAGAAACGTACGTATTTTGGAGATGTTGCGGAGGTGAAGCCTGCATGAGCTTGCCAACGATTGGACATGGGGTTGGAAGGACAGGTTTGAATCTGTAGTGACACCTAGGACTTTGGCTTGCAGGGAGGGACTGATGGTGGTGTTGTTGGTCGTGATGGAGAGGGTGGGGAGCGCGGGCTGGGGGGAAAATTAGGAGCTTGGTTTTGGAAAGGTTCAGTTTGAGGAAATGTGTCAGAGCCTGGGATCGAACCTGGACCTTCTGTGGTGGGAGGCAATGTTTATTCTCACTGAACCACCTGGAATGCTAGATAGCTTCCTTGACAATTCTTTGGATGATCCTGCCTTGGCCCTGTTTTGTCTTGAACTTTGAACTCCTTGCTCCTCCCATGAACTTCCTATAAGAGACAGGTCCATGCATTTCCTCCTTGCCAGATTATTGTCCCTTCCCAGCCAATATCCCGCTCATCATTCCTGCTGCTGTCTACATCTTTGTTACCGACCTTTGGCTTGCTACTGACAACGATTTTGCCTCATCCTATCTACTACCATTTGTGACCGACCCTTGGCTTGTGACTTACTCTGCTTCTGTTTGAGCCCTAAACTGTTTGATCCGCTATTGGTTCCAGCTTGCTCATTCCCTGGTGGGGTGATCCTGAGATCTGCGACCTAGTATTAACACGCAGCCCAATCCATTTCCACCATTAGGAGCTCTGGTGAAAACCGGTTAATACTTAGACCCCGCACCTCAGGTGAGCCTGCGTCATTCCCAGGGTGACCCGCTGGTGTACCTATCCTGCTGGTTTCAGGTAAGCCTTACACTGCTGTAGCAACTGGTCTCTGAACCTGACCCAGACTGCGACAGAAAAAATCTGGCCCAAAACATGGAGGCCGCTATAGCAAATGCCATGACTCCTGTCAGGCAGCAAATTTCAGAGCTGCAAGAGTTTGGTATTACCTAGTAGAGAGGCAACAGGGAGAGATTCAGTCTCTAATGTTTGTTATTGGGCTTCTGACTGGGGAAGCTCTAGCTTGGGCCTCCCCATATATAGAGCAAAACCATGGCATGTTGAATGATTTTGATACCTTTTTGACCGCGCTGAATCAGGTTTTTGATGATCCCAACGTTGTGCTACTGCCAAAGCAAAATTGCATAGTCTGCGGCAGGGTAGACGCTCGGTCACTGAATACACAGCCAACTTCAGAAGTTGGATGGCAGATACCACTTGGAACCCTGCAGCACAAAAGAGCCAGTTCCGCCATGGGCTTTCTGAACAGGTAAAGGGTGAGCTTGCCAGAGTAGATATTACTAATGATCTTGAGGAATTCATCCAATTGTGTATCCGAATTGATCAAAGACTTACAGAAAGGAGGAGGGAGAGGTTGGGAATGTTTGGAGGTAAAAGGGGCATGCATCTCTCTGCTAGTCCATTTGTTCAGCAGGATTCAAGAGTCTCTCTGGGTTCTAACACTCCTGAGCCTATGCAGGTTGATGCCATCAAGAGATCCATTTCCATTCAGGAGAAAGAGAGAAGACGTTCAGAGAATTTATGTCTATATTGTGGGGATTCTGGTCATTATGCAATTAATTATCCTAACAAGGTTAGTAGAACAATTGCTGTGACTGATGTGATTGAGCCTGAACAAATAAACTCTATAAGCCAGTCTGTCTCCCCACTGATTCCTGAAGAGAATAAAGTGAACTCCCTGCTTTCTCACTTTGTTATCCCCATTAAACTTGTATCTGAAGGCCGTGAAATTTCCTGCTCAGCTATGCTGGACTCCAGGGCTGGGGGGAACTTTATGCATATAGAGTTTGCCCACAACTATAATATTCAAGCCAGAAATACATTTACCCCTATTGATATGGAGAGAGTTGATGGGTCACACTTATCTTCAGGTCCTGTTACCCATAAAACGGTTCCCCTGAAACTGTTATTTCAGGCTGACCATTGTGAGGCCATCAGCTTTCAGCCAAGTTTCACCCAAGTTTCCCATCATCCTGGGCATTCCTTGGTTCTCCACTCACAATCCTTCCATTAACTGGGGAGCACGGACTATAGATTTTATGTCCCCCCCACAGTGAAAAACATTGCAAAAAACCTTGCCAACCAAGTTCATCACCGACCAAGGAAGTGCAAGGTGATATAGTGGCTACCCAGTGATATGACAACTTGCCCACACATTACCATGAGTTCCGGGATTTCAGTGACAAGAAAAATGCAGACCAATTACCCCCTCATCGCCCATAATATTGCCCCATTGAGCTGATCCCAGGGGCAGAAATACCTTTTGGCTGCCTTTTCAATCTGTCGGAACCTGAATTAAAAGTACTCAGGGTGTGGATCGATGAGAATTTGGAGAAGGGCTTTATTTGACACACAACTTCTCCTGCGGAGGCAGCCCTGTTCTTTGTTGAAAAGAGAGACTCCACCTTGCTTCCATGCATTGACTACAGAGACATGAATAAAATCACTATTAAAAACCGCTATCCATTACCCTTGATTTCTGAAATATTGGAAAGACTTCGTTCTGCCAAGATCTTTACCAAGCTTGATCTATGAGGGGCATATAACCTTGTCCGCATTCATCAAGGAGACCAATGGAAGACCGCCTTCAGAACTAGGTATGGGCATTTTGAACCCTTGGTGATGCCGTTTGGACTTTGCAATGCCCCTGCAATGTTTCAGCATTTTATCAACGATGTTTTTCGTGATCTGTTGGACCAATTTGTAATTGCCTAT